TGCATGACATGATACGACCCGCTCATCTGGTACGCGCACAAGAATGTGGGAGAAGTAGTTGTACCCCAGAGACTGCCGCCAGAGGAGAGACCCCGGTCGTCGCCAAGAGTGAGCACAAAAGAAGCCCCAGGCGAGATTGACGGGTACCAGTCGAAGCCAATGCCTTGCCCGTGCACCTCGGTGATATTTGAGATTCTCCAAAGCGTCGATCGCATATCCCAGGTGCCATAATGGGAGGGCGGCTGTTCACTTTCACCCAGGGTGGAAGGAAGATCAATCTGCGGTTGTTCACCGAGAGTGGTAACATGGAAAGTAACGTTTCTGAGAACAGGGTCAGATTCACAACTAGCCAGTAGACGGGAGTCATTTACCCAATGGCCGCCCCGAGATCCCACCAGATTCGATTCGGTACACCGATGACAAAGTCCGTGGACCCAGTGCTGAAGTTGAATGGTTGTGTGTATGCCGGTCCGCCGCAACGAGTAGGATTAGATAGTCGTCTCTCATCATGCAAGCTCGCCGTTAGCCAGCCCGTATCCGACTCGAGCGAATCCATCCACTGTAGTTGATGAGTGGTTAGGTAGTATTAGTCGAAGCAAAACTGACCGCAAGCCAGAAGAGATGGCTAGGATCTTCCGGAACAACGGCCGAGAAGACAAAATTATCCCCCTGCACTTGGCCTGCTACTGCCCAGGTCTGATCCGGTGCGTATGGAAGCAGAACGAAGGTGTCGGCATTGCTATTAGCTGAAATACCGAGCGAGACATTGCATGAGCTGGGAAGGGAAAAAGACCTCGAGGTTGCGGCGAGGGCGAGGGGGAAAAGGAAGAGGGTAGGGTGCATCAAGCCTCAGAGACCAACCGCAGAGCCTTTCTATAGCGTAGGATGGCTTGGGAAAGCTACTCTTTGCTGTGCGGATGAGATTGGTCCGCAATTCCCGCTACCTTTAGGTATTGGGTTTAGAGACGAAGCTGCAGTTTTCAATTGAGTTTCGTCGATCGGAAGAAAGCTGTGCTGTTGTCCACTGCCACCCATTCAGTCCCACGATGCCGACTCGGCCATCGCAACGCCATCGCCACGAAGTAAATCACCCGTTGTCATCCTCTCGTAGGCCCCCGGTCACTCACGGTTATGACTGTCCGCTTTTCAAAAAAATTCTGGACTGTTTTACGCTATGAAAAATCGGTCCAGCCGCCTGTTTTACTCTATTTTGGACGAACATTGCCTAAAACCGCGAGCCACAGGCGTAACTGTGGTATTTTTGAGCTCATATGAGCCAACGAAGGACTCGTAGGAGTGCAACTGAACAGATTTCGAGTCCAACAAGGTCCAATGACACAGGCCAAACACCGATTTGCGGCTTCATTCTCACTGTGTAGTGCCAAAAAAAATTTGCGCTCCGCGCTGATTTACTCTATGCAGACGGACATCCACGATCCCCTGCATGTTTTACTCTATCCTGAGGACCGAGAAGAGGCGGTCACAACCGTGAGTGACCGGGGGCCTCCTCTCGTCATGTCCTTCTTCGTCTCTGTCAACAACCAGCCGTTCACAGCTGTCGTGGATCCTCGGGTCTCTTTCTCGGCTATGCGTATCGGGTCTGCGCGCCAGCGCTTCCATCTTTATGCAAGCACTCTTCCCTGCCGTCGTGTGTGTGCAACTGCCACAAGGCCTCGTCTCTCGTAACATCGCGCTGTGCCTTGCGGACAGTCTCCCCGCCGACCTTATTCTCGGTCGCGACTAGTTGTCGCTTGTTCCACCGCCGAGCGTGCACCCCGCACACAGCGGTACGTGATTCCTCTGCCTATGTACATGACTGAGGGACCTGGAAGGAGCCAGCCCTTCGCACTTGCCTGATGGTGGCCAGCTGCTTCCTCCACCGCTCTTAGCGGCTATAATATCCTTCGTCATAATTTCTTTGCCGTCAATAAAAAGTGCGCTCACGCCTCCGTATTTTGTGCTGGCCTCGTCTCCACCATCTTATGTCCCTCCATGGTCTGTCTATATCTGATTTTGGTCTGCCCTGCTGCCGGCAAACACTTGTATCGCATCTTCTCTCCGGGACCTGTGCCGATTACTTATGGCAGGCTCGCTGAGGACGCTGTAAGCGTTGATGTCGCTGACGATCAGTCGGTTAGAACCAGGTCGAGGATGGTATCGGCGTGCCAGCGAAGCGCAAGGCAGAGGCAGAGGTTGCCGCGCAGGCGGAGATGTGGAAGCTTCCTTCCGCCGCGTCTTTGGTGTCTGAAGTTGTACATTGATTCAATATGCTTGTATGTATACAAATGTATGAATGGTCGGTATCTTTCAGAGGTAGCGGGCCCTGCCGGAATCGGCCTTTCCGCGTTATAATAGACGATGCAACAAAATGATACATCTGGTGGAGAAATTTCTTCTTCGATCTGAGTGGATTGGAGCCGCCGCGGCGTACGAGAATCTTGAATTGCTCATGCTTCTGGTTTACTTTGCCGTTAATGCATGGTACGAGCGTCGATTAGCTCAGGCGTGAGAGGATTCGAACAGACCGGAGTGCTGAGGTGGTCCAAGATCAAGTCGCGTCGCTCGGCGTCACACGCTCAAAGCTTGCGTCCCGCCATCATGGCCAATCACCTCACGATTCAGGTCTCCATCCACGGCGAGTGAGTCTTTCCAGCTGTATTTCCCGCACGTTTCCCACCTCGGCGCCTCCAGTAACGACCGCCGTTGCGAAGTGCTCCTCAAAAAAGACATTCCTGAGCAAGTACAGGACAACCTCATGCTCCTGGATGGATGGGCACAAAAGTCTGTCATGGCAATCGGTCTCGACATGAAGCACTCACAGCGCTGGTTGTGCGAGATTTGTGGTAATATCTCCATGAGGCTTTCTACTGTTGACTGACGATATCTTGATTCTTCGAAGGAGAACCCGCGAGAGAGGCGGTCTTCGACCCACGACCGAACTTGCACCTGGAAAATCCATCTGTGTTATTGGATGTACGTCTTTCTCTCAGTCTTCCTCCCGTTAACAAATCTTCTTTCCCTAGATCCACCACCTCTGTGGAGCTCGAGGCGGTCCTTGCCACATCGCAGTACAAGAACGCGTCCGGCAACGCGCACTTGCAGCCGGAACTCTGCCTCCGCCCTCCGTGGACGTCCAGTCAAAGGAATCCAACCAGAAAATACCCCTCGCTAGCTCTTGTGCGAAATGCCAGCGCGACGAAACAGGCGCGCCTGGAACTTCGATGAACAAATGCAGCCGCTGTAAGTTGACGAGGTGAGCATCGGATTTTGTCTGAGCTGCCGCTAACTCTCGGGAATAGATATTGCAGGCAAGTTTATTTCTTTAGCGTCCATAACCGTCCTCACACGTTCGCAGCGTCCAATGTCAAACACAAGATTGGACGCGACATAGCAAGGTACGTGCCCAGGAACTAGCTTTACCTGCGATACCACCATTTTTAGACGTGCAAGATGATTCACAAAGTCCAATGGTTCAACTGGAAAGACAACACACTGAAGCCCAACGACGATTCCGAGGTGACCTCGCGAATGCCAGGCGCATTCGTCTAAGTAGGAAGCCGTTGTTTGTTTGGATGTATGATTATAGTTGGTATCCTTTCGGAGCGGTCTTGCAGTTCCTGTGTCAGAAGGGAACAATTCAGTGCGTACAAGTCAACTTAGTCAAATCTCACTGGCCGAATATTACCGGATCTGTTGTTCACATTGCGCCGTGGAAACCAACCCCTCGCATACATGATTAGGCCCGTGTATGTAGGTACGGAGCCCGTACGTTCCTCATTGTGACTGTTGCGGTATTAAACCTTCCTTTCCTTTCCCTCGGCATAGAATTCTAATGGTAGCCTCAATGTTTGATTATCCTTCGCCAGCTTTCGAGGTACTCTTTGCACCAGTGCACTAGTGCAATCGCCTCAGATGGCGCCTTTCCCTTCCATCCCGTGGGCCTCTTCCTTCCTAAAAAGTACACAGGCCAAAAGAAGAGTATCTCTAGTGTAACTCTGCAAAATTCCAATTTCTTTTTGGTGAAGAAGTTGCCAAGATATGTCGCGTCAAAAGATGAGTTTTTTCGGTGACTGCTGATCGCGTTGCGCCACGATACAGCAGTTTGCATAAATACGTGAACATGCAGATTCTTTTTTTCGGCGCACGTGCACCCGGCACGTCCGGCATGAATTCTTAGCCGTGGGCGACCTCGGGCTCGACGACCACCAACTAGTATTTCTACTCTATTCCAGAGCTGGTACCCTCGCGCTGTCGTCGACGTCGCCAACCTCTCAATCCTCGCCTGATGAGTCAGTCTTCGCCCCATGCCAACCCACTGGCAACTGCCTGCCCAACCACAACCAGAGCCAAACAAGAAACGGGTCCCCTTCTCATAGTCGCTGGCACCGTGAACTTGAAGCTGGATCGTCTTGTACGAGTCCACGGAGACGCTCGCTACTGGCATGTCCGAGTCCGTCGGAGTCGCCGCCGTCACGATGGATCGTGTTGGACTAGCATCAAGCGACGACGCACCTTTTGAGTTCGGAGAAGGGTTGGCGATGGTAGTGGCAACAGGCGTCGGGCTCTGCAACGAGGAGGCCTCCGACACAAAACAGGATGTCGATGAGCTTGGAGGGTGGCATGCCGGACGTGCCGGGTGCACGTGCGCGGAAAAAGAAAATCTGCATGTTCACGTATTTATGCAAACTGCTGTAACGCGCACCAGAGCTGCACAAATTTGTGGGGAGGTGGATACATAATGAGATTTGAACATATTTCATTTACAGAGGCCGAGCACAAGGATTCATTGAGATATTGGGGCCGATTGCACTTGAAGGTGCAATTGCATCAGCGGCATGGCATACCTCGTAACTTAGGATTCTGCGGTTTTCTGAGTGCATAACTCCACTGCGCTGACACACACGAGCCCCGGTTAGCATGGGTGCCAACCATCCACGCTGATCCAGAAAAAGACGGGTCATTGCCATCAAGGCCGCGATGAAGGAGAGGACCAAAAAAGATTCCCCGACGGGGAATCGAACCCCGCGCTCGAGCGATTCAACTGTTCAATAATATTCCGATGAGAAGCTCATATGTTACCGATACACCATCGAGGATTGGTAAAAGGCGCTGAAGAGCTCATTAGACCGTCTCTATGGTTGACAGATGTCTTGATGCAAGAGATGCTCGACTTGGACGAGTTTTGCTCATAATTCCGTTTTCTTTCGCACAGGCAGATGTGAGAGCGTGATATCTCTCAATCGTGCCACTAATTATCGTTATCGAGTAAGAAATGCGAATTCAATCGCGGATTGTCTGTTCCAGGTGTCACGATGCATGATAGTAGTAGCGCGAACCTTGTTCTGCGTTGCACGTCTCGTATACGGTATCCCGCTTATCCGCGGGCAAAATGCAGGCCAAGCTGCAATCCATTGCATCCAATATGCGAGCATTATACTACTTACTTAGTCATGATGAGCGCTAGCACTGGCATGCATCCGACTCGCAGAACCCGACAAGGATCGCCCACACGAGTCGGAAGTTTCCTGACTTGAAAATTGTGTCTCATTCTGGATGCAAGCAAGCTGCAATGTGCGATGTTTATTCAGACAAATCACCAGGACTCCGTCTCTGTCAGCTCAGGAACCCGGAAAAGGCTCCAACGCTAGGCCAAAACCAGTATCAAACGGATATTTCTCCGTCTTGTCTCGCATCGCACTACTAGCGGGCGTATCTCACGCATGTACCTGACCCGGAAAGTTCACATCCCAAGATGCAAATGTGTAGCAACCCCCCGAATCGCGGAAAGCGCTCACGCACGAGCATCGAGTACCCGTGGTCAATTTACCCGCGACTATTATTGGTGTCATTCAACAGACAAGACGCGTATCTGTGGTACAGATTTCTCCAAAAATACATTTCATTCATTTTTCATTTCACTCGAAAGCAGCCGGCAGTCTACGTATCTAATCCACGCACAGAATTACTACTAAAAAAAAAAAGGGGAAAAAAACACGAACGCGATACGGACAGTATGTATGTATGTACACTACGAGTATCGAGCAGACGAATCGCGAGAACTAGTCACACCAGACAACCAACAACCAAAACGCCTACTGGAGCTCAACAGCCCTCGCCATGGCCCTCGCGTTAACATGCACATGCGCCGCACGCTCTCCGACCTCCCAACACACCTCCACACCCGAGATCCACGCAGAACCGAGGACGTCCTCGATGGTTGCGCGCGCCTTCGGATCCGGCTCGAGCATGCGGCGGATAAGCGGCCTGCAGGCACGCGGGGACAGGTTGTTTATCGTCGGAGGGAAGAGCAGCGCGGGGTTTGAGCGTGTTTCGGAGGCAGTGGGTGTGTGGCCGTTTGCCGTCGGGCTGGTGGTAGGTGCGGATATGAGGGGAGGTGCTGGTGTGGAAGCAGCTGCAGTTGCGTAGGAGGCATACAGCTGGTCGGTGGGTTGTGCCGCGCGCCAGGGGAGTTCTTGGAAGTGCAGGCAATAGTACACGATCCCACACGCCCAGATGTCGACGAGACGAGCGTCATAGGCTGCGCGGACATTAGACGAGCTTCAATGGCATGCTGATCACGTACGTTTGCCCAGGAACTGCTCTGGTGCGATATACGGCTCGCTCCCGCACAACCCCGTCGACATGTGGATGGTGCCCTCCCACGGTAACCGATACACCGTCGACGCTCCATAGTCACCGATCTGAATCACTTAGTCAGAGACGGGCGCAGGCACGACCCTACGGACCTTGAGATGCCCCAGGGTGTCGAAGAAAAGGTTTTCTGGTTTGATGTCGCGGTGGGCAACACCTTGCGAGTGGAGGTAGCCGACACCCTGCAAGATTTGCTTGAAACAGCATTCGACCTCACTGGGGGACATGCCGCCCTTCTTGATGGCAGCGTAGAGGTCGCCTCCGGGACAAAACTCCATAACCTCGCACCACTTTCCCTGCTCGTCCTGGACTAGATCGACCGTCTCGACGATGTTGACGTGGTGGAGCGTCGAGCTGATGCAAAACTCGGCGGTGAGCTTCTTGACGTACTCCTTCTCCGTCTCGTTGCGACGGCGTTTGCGGAATTCCTGGAATGGATGTGTGAGCGACTGGATGAAAATGCTCAAAAAAAGCTTCGCACCTTGACGGCATACATCTTCTCGCCCTCGCTGCGATCCCATTTGTGGGCCAGCCGCACGACAGAGGTAGCACCCTTGCCGATGGCGACCTAGTCCGATGAGAAAGATTTTCCTTTCAAAGAAAAACACACACCTTCTGGCAGACACCGTACTTTTGGGTAAGACTCCCGACGCTGTCTCCACCGCCAGACTTTGCGCTCTTTGCCTTGTGACTCCGCTCGCTGCCGCTGTCTGCGCTGTGACGGGAGCTCGCACTGCGAGCGCTGCTCTTTCGGGAGAGCTTGGGTCCATTCGCAAGGAGGTCTTTGAGGGTGAACTTGTGGGACGTCTGGGATGCTTCCGAGGTGATGGAGGCTGCTCTCGACGGTGCTCGAACTGCGGGGGTATTGGGAGCAGATGCTGAGACGGCCCGCTTGACGGATGCTGGCGGCGGAACGGGCGAGTTGGGTGCGGACACCAGCGTTGCTGACGACGATGTGTTTATCGGACCAGGATTCGTTTTGCTGGAGGTCTTTGCGGCCAGCGTCTGGTGGGTGTGGCCAGGCTGCTTGTCGTATGCGGATGAGTCGGGTGGGGGAAGCGGAATACTGGACATGGAGGACGGAGGCAAGGAGGTAGGCTGGAAGGAGTTGGGCGTCGGGTCGACACTCCGGCTTCAATGGAGTGGGACCATGGCCGGGGCTGGATGAGTTGTGTGGTGTCGCCCTTTGGCAGCTTGCGCGAATTACGCCAGTTGCGGGAGCTTTATGTCCGAATCCGTATTTGATGCATATTTATTTGTCACTATTCTCGGAATATTCCTTTTCATCCCCGAGCCTGCTCCTCGCGACTTGTTCGCGACCGCATCTCAAGGTTCGTATGCCAAGGCCTCCATGTCGGCATCTGCTAATGCTATGTGTAGTCTATCAGATGAAATGAACGGATCACCCAAGTGCTTTTCTTGGCCGATGCTGTTTGACGAGACCACAGCGGTATTCTGACATCCTCGTTTCCACGTTCTTCTCCCCAACCATCTACTGCATCCACTTCCCGCCGCGTTCTTCGGTTCTTCCTCGGCAAGGCCGCGAACGCATTGACGCGCCAAGCCGCCAGAAAAAGCATCTTCAACTTGGCTCTGGTTCTTTGTCTTCGTGGCAGCATTAACTTCGACCGCAAGTCGCCGCGCAAGCATGAATGAACTCGCGCCCGACTAGTAATACTGGGCGTCGACCGGCAAGCGCATCCGGTCAAGCTCCACCCAACATAATGGAATGCTATACTAGGTCCAGGACCATGCAGACTGCCTGCTTGCATGAATGGCTTCAACGAGACCAAGAACACGGTGCTCGGCGACACTGACCAAGCCCGAAGTCATCGAATGTTTCTATTTTATTACAGTCAAATCCTCGAGGTCGGACGAACTTCAACGCCGTCGATACCACCTCGGACTCGTCCTACACTGTCACCCGTCTTCTAGATCTTATCCTCACCCTCGAGATTCACCGGCACATTCATCGCCATCGCCACCATCGCGACATCCACCTTTGTAAACACACACACCACCCTGCACACAACTCGATGGTGCGCAATCGTATCGCAGTAGCCCGGGATATCCGTGCCGAGCTCCTTCATTGCCCGACGCGTCAGCAACACGAGTGTAAGGCAAGCATTTTACACGTACCAAGACATCGCGATTCCGCAGCTCGCACGAGAAGGATCCTTGGCCCTCGGGGCTCAGCCGTCGCCCGTTGACGAACGTCCCGTTGGCGCTCCCGGTATCACGGATGTATATCTGCGCGTCATGCCTCAGTTTCCATTGCTGGCCAACTCCGAGATGAACGGACCTTCCCATCCTGCTCCCAAACCTCCGCATGCCGGCGACTGACGACCGGCGAATCGAAATACGCTCCAGGCTTGTAGAGTTGTTCTTCAACTTCAAGTAACGGCTTGCTCGCGGGAGGCAGCCGCCCGAGGGGAACGCGCTGGCCCGGGACGTTCAGCAGGAGCTGCTTGGGGATGAAGAACGCTTTTTGGAGCGTGTCGTCATGGTTCAAGTTCTGGGCAGCGTCACGGCTGGCGCTGAGCGGGTAGAGGTAGAGCGCGGGGTAGACTGGCGAGAAGAGGATCATGGGCAGTGGGGATGCCATAGGGAAGACGGGCCTTCTGCGGTGTAAATACGCTGCGGAGACGCCGGCGAAGGAAGGGAATGGAAGGGGCCAGAAGCGTGGACTCGGGGGGAGAGCATGTACCTCTACTTCGGATGAGGTCAAAATTATGTACGTTCTACTCTTTTTTAAAAAGTTTCACGCTGAGATCATCAAGCGTGGGCGCAGCTAGAACTCTTATACACCTTGAACCATTGTCTCTCTGAGTTCGCTTTTATTGAATCTGTATTCAATCTGTGTTGGAGCTTGGAATGGACTGCTCCCTGTGGCGGGGTGGCCTCCTCACGCTAGCGAGTATCGAAGGCCTCGGAATAACAGACGTAGCAGAACCCGCACCGTCAGCCACGGTGGACGTGGAGCAGGATGGTCGGATTTGATATGCGGGCAGTGATGCAAAATCCGGTTGGAGTGAGGCCAGGTATTAGACAACGTAGAAGCTAGGGTAGTTGCTACCTCTCCCTTTTATACACAGGGTATCTTAGACGGTGTGATGCTGCGGGCATTCATAGAGATAGATTTCCAAAATACGGCTTTTGTACTATCAAGTCTCAGTTGAGTCGTCCTCTGGGGATTGTGTTCGCAATGGTGGAAACTTTGTTGAAATTGAGTGTGTGTGTATGAATCCAACGGAGCTAGAAAAGCTCGCGCTTGAATAGTTCCTGTGGGATACTGTGGGATAGGGTTAGTATAAAATCGAGCGGAGAGGCTGTTGTCCTCTGTGAGATTTATTTGGTGGTCGTGGTAGGTGTGTAATAATCGAGCGGTGAGGCTGACATCCTCCGCAGGATTATTCTGTGCCAATCTGTGGTCATGGAAGTTGTT